GAAGAAGAACAAAACAGCTGGCGCCGATCGATTACATCGGAGTGCGCCATGCATTCAGCACCACAACTCCTTGTGATTATGTTTTCGCTCATTCAAAAAATATCGACGTCGGAAATCACGTCAGTAGGATCGAATGAGGAAGCAGAAGCGTTAGTATCACCGTAATCCAAACAAGTCTGATACTTGAAGTTTTAAATATGAAGGCGAGCAGAACGGTATTCACCTGAAGAAAGTGAACAACATTTTTGTATCGTATGCCTTCTAAAATGGGAAACCGTCGGAAGATTAAGTAGCTTTGAGGAGAAGAGGTAGAATATTAGTAGCTGGTGCCGCTATCTATCCCATGTACTGAACAAGAATCAAACTCCGCTGACGTTCTCGGAAGTACCTATCTTCCCTCCTTTGACGGCACGACAAGAAATTCTCGGAAAAGTTTGGTAAGATGAGTGCTCTCTTGTGAACGTGGGGGGGGGGGTGTCGTCTCAGAGGAGAAACGGTGATTATTCGAAGTCCTCGAGACGGATTCACCGATCAGTCCCCTGTTCCTCAAAATTATGCGGTGAGTCTCGCTCCACTTTACAGAACATTCCATACCACGAGTTCTTTCTTTAGAACTGGGCAGACTGCCCGGGAAAACTTGTCTTTGTGATGAGTTCCGATTGTCTAATGTTGGGAATTACTCATGACTCACGCCTTCCATGAAATACCGTTGAAAAAGAATGCGCGAGAGTTTTCGTGTGCTGGCATCGTTCGCTTTGAGTTTTTCTTTGATCACGCACTTAGTAACCCAAGGACAACATCGTACTAAAGGGCACAGACAAATAATAGCCGTAGCAGCACGGCTAACGACCAGTTGTGGTGCGGTTTTCATCGTCGAATTAAGACATGAATGGAAACAGCCGATGTTTTCTGTGAGAACTTCTTGATGGGTCGAGCGTTTGACTTTCATGGGAGGTCGTAGAGGTGCTGGAATGCGCGCAGTGAGGACGATCAGTATTTAGCGAATTTTTGAGGGATGACAGGTTTGGTTGTCCCAAAATAAATTCCTTGAAACGATGTGTTATGATCCATGCACAACCTGGAATGCATTAAATGTGTAGGCCAGATACGGTATTCCAATTCCATTTCGGACTTGAATGAACCCTTATCCTGCCCTGTCCTCATCAAGAAAGGGTGAGTGCCGATGCAGTGCTTCTCACATGAAACAGCGATGGCGATGGCGAGAGAAACAGTTACATCCGAAGAGATTCCATTTGTTCTGAGAGCCTTGAACCCCACCAGAACCCAACTTCTCCTCTTGGTTCACCTAGAACTACCAGAAAACACCTGCACTGAATGAAAGAGGACATATGCTTTTAGCCGTCACTCTCGCATGAAAATTTCAAAATACACTCATTACAAAACACGATCTTCTGGAGTGAATACAGCCCTCTGCGCGTATAGTGGCGAACCATGCTACTCTTTAGAAAATGCCTTACTTTCACGTTAATCCCTAAGGAACAAGTGATCAATGTTAGCGAAGTTGTGTAGAGGCAAATGACCATCGCACGCTCACCAGCCAGCGGTCTGGAGTTCAAATCCCGATCGGCTACCGCCCAGGCCATCCAAGCTCCCTACCCCCGGAGACGGTAAATTGGTACCAGAGTGGTCTCGAGGGATAGAAACACTGACTTACATCGGTTGGCCCACATAAGTCATTGTATAGGCCACATCGCATTCAGTAAGCCGATGAACTCTGTTTGGAAGTAGAATGCGTGCCGGATACCAAAAAGGGAGTGATCCATGTGAATCTTGAATTCTACACACGCGTATATGTGTAGAGATTAGATGCAGCACGGAGCTTTTAATAGTTCCTGAAGAGAAGACGGCCTTTTCTTAGCGGAGTAAGTGTTTACTCTCTTCTTCCTTCCGCTCTCTCAACCTATTATTCTAGCGTAGAGGGACGGTGAGACGTCGATGTTCTGATGGTGACGCACCTCTTTCTCGCATAAACGTGGTTGAGAGCCTCCAGTACTTGTGCATGCACAGCCAGTTCACCGTGTAGTATGTCACCAAAAAATCCTACTCTCTTTTTACTGGTTCCCTTCCATAAAGGGTTTTTCTGACGCGGTCTGCTAATTTGGAATTGGTTCGTCTTTTCAGCCGGAGTGAATGCCTGATCGAGCGGACGCCAATTACTTCTCCATTCTTTCGTAGACAACGATGTCAAACAAATAGCTGTTTTCAAACATAAAAGATGCGTGCGCTCCATACACACGGCAATTTTGTTAATCGCGTGATAACATTCCTTTACGGATGATCAGGTTAATGTGCTCACCTGGTCCACACGCTGTTCGCTGGGTTCCGCTTCCCCCCTTCGAACCGTTTTGCAGAGTATTCAAAGCACAAACCGCCATAGACTAAACACCACAGTCACGTTCTCAGGTTACGGAAGCAACCTTCCTTGACATGAGAATGTTCCATTGTTCTAGCTTTGTTCCATACCTATCCTATAGCCTGGAGCGGATTGTTGTTGGAGTTAGCTGTTCGGATTAGTGGCACCTCTTCTTGTGAATGAATACTTGGTCGAAAGCCTGATTTCGTGCGACTATTTGCGGTCTTTTTATGGGATACGAGAGCCACAGCAAGATCATAACGGGTTCGGTTCTATTGCCTTATCTTGTTAAGCTCAAGATAAGGATAGAACCGGATTCAAGCTTAATGAATCAAAAGGCAACACGATGTGGATCTCTGCTGGCAATCTCTCTTCTTTTACAGTTCCAAGAACTGCTGCGTTCTCAGTCTCGTCGTTAGGGAAAGAAATTCTGCGGACAGCAGATCGACCAGTTCTGCTCTTCTGAGTGCAGAAGTTCTGGCGTTGCAATATATTGCCCATTGCAGCTCGCGCATTGGTGGTGACACTTACCTTGATAGGGTTCTCCATGGTGAGTCAAGAAAGGTGGACGGGTTGAAAAGGTTCTCCATAGGCTCCGGTTCCTCACGCTCACTCTACTTATCTTTGATTTGCGGTGGCAACTCAACACTTATAAAATCTTCTTAGCTTCTTAGCAGTCATAACCATGAGCTCCTCGCCTCCGTCAGGGTCAATCAGATTCGTGTCGAAAAGGCGCTGCTGCCACCAATCCGAAAATGCTGCTAGCCCTAGGTATTGCTAACCATGGACCACGATGAGTAATTTGGTTGATTTAAAGAGGCATTCAATAGGAAGTGCCTAGCAGAAGCAGCAGAAATGATCGGTATCGGTCACTCATGAAATTATTTGTGGATCGCTGATGGCAAATACTTCACTGTTGAAATGTCTACCAATCATGGTAATCTTCTTGAAGGTGGAAGCTGTGGACTATAGACCACTATGGGGGTTTTCTCTAGTCCAGGGAGGGCGGAGAAATACTGTGGGAACCGCCCAGCAGAACCTGTGAGAATCGTCCCTGTCGGTCAGTTATACTGTTTTCCACGCGTCCGACACAGCGTAATAGCGAGAGTCGATACATCAGCCAAAGAAGGTGAATCGATCTCAGTCCTGAGCTGACTACCGTTTAGAAATCGCTTGTCGGGATGAAATTGCATGAGCAATGATATTTTGAAGGGCTCAGGCAAAGGGACCGCTGCCGGGCGAAAACCTTTGAGCGACCACAAGTGTCAAACAACTTTGCCGCAACTGCGAGGTCGCCTGCAGTATGGCAAACTCGTCCGGTAAGATGAAAATATCGGCCATCATTTCAAAATGGCTTGTTGGTGGCAATGATTTGGGAGAGAGACTAATGGAAAAATAGGTTTTCAATGAATTTTTCAAAGGTATGGTTTGAGAGCTAGTTTGAATTCCGCA